TTTGCGTGATATTTACTGCGGGTGGTCAATAAAGGGAGGTGGGTCGGGTGAGAAATTTTCGAGCTACAAACGCCAGGTGAGAGTGATGATATCCAAATTATGTGTAAAACGGGACTCACCTTCACTAACGCCTAGCAGCCAGGGGGTTATGTAAGGTAAAACACGAGCGCGCTGGATAGGGTCTAGGTACGCAATCACACGGTTCGGGCATGTATGCTTACATCATCCAGTCCGGCAACACGCTGTTCACCGCCGACTGCTGTTCCTCCGGAATCCCGGTGTCAATCGCGCGTGCCAAACGTTCATCTGCCAACCTCCCTCCCGCTTCTCCCCTCTTCCACCTCAACCTAGAACCGGAGAATAGCAAGCTAACGAGAGCGAAGATAGATGGAGTTTGTCAGCGACATTCACGGCAGGCCAGACGACCCATTCAAGCCTTCGATATTCGAATTGGTGTTCCAGGAACAATTAAGAGATCATTTACAACCCGCTCTAAAATATGTGTTATCCGTAAGTATCAAATACGCATACACGCCTCCGACACGGCCTGACGAAATGCGTCATGTTCGGTATCCAAAACCACCACATAGATCTTTGCAACTCGCTACCCTCGATACCTCCTCCGAATAGTCAACAAACATGAAGAATTTTACGCACTGTTAATGTTCTTCATTGAACGCTACTACCTTGGCAAGCATGGTCAGTCTGCCATTCACCTTCCACGTCTTGGATATCCAGCTCACGTTTCGCTGTTCGGGTCCAAGGTGCATCCTTTGCGGAGAATTTTTATGGCCTCAAGCGCCGGCGGCGGCCTCTGTTCTCTACAGAACGGGCGGATGCGGCCGTCGGAGGCAGCTCAATGGCTAAAGAGAGTAGGCTGGGGCGGAGGGAGATGCGGCTGAGCTTGTTGTTTTTAGTGAGTCGTTGTGAAGTGGAATTGCGACCCTTCTTCTCACACAAGGCGTTGCTTTTCCACCCCTTCAGGTTGGTATCCCCTACATTCGAGCCAAAGCGAGAGACTACTGGGAGCAACTCGGGGGAGGGGTGGATGTCGGAGACTTGGAGGGAGCGTCCCGGCGTAGAAATACGGAACAGCAGGTGGGACTGGCGCCGTCAACCCATTTCCGTGGGCCCTCATTAAACTCTTTAACAGTCGATGCTGGATCGCTTGAGGTCCACGTTCAAGCTTGTATATCCGTGGGCCGACACGGCCTTCGAACTGTGGATGATGTCGTACAACATTGGCTACTTGTTCGATCGGACGCCTTTCTATCGACCTTGGCTTAGGTGGATGGGTGTCGATATTCGAAGAATGGGCCCAGAGGACTACGTAAGTCTCTTGACTACTTACGGTGTCTAATGGCTAATATTTTTGGATACAGCAACCACCCACCCCGAGTTCAACTGGAAAGACATCGCTCCAGTCTCGTCGCAATCTTCTGACTCTCCTCAAATCATTCTTGTTCCGAACTCCGTCTTTCATTCTCGACTCCCTGAAAATTCTTTTGCCGCTGTCGATCTTTTTCGTCAAGTTCCTCGAATGGTGGTACAGCCCCACATCACCCGCAAGGGCTCTCCATTCCAAAGCGGACAACGGACCGTTACTACTCCAACCAAAAGTTCTCAAACCCCATTCTAATGGCATCCTGGGCGCCCACCCTCACGAAATTTACGCTAGGAAGCAGAAACAGGAGAACTCGGATGGCGGACCGCGCCTCAAATATGGCATCTGTCCACTCTGTGATGCTCCCATGGTCAATGCTACAGCATTGCCATCGGGGTACGTCTTTTGCTACAAATGTGTGTTCGAGGAGGTGGAGAAACATGGTCGGTGTCCTGTGACTCTACTTCCTATGCGAACCTGGATGTTAAGGAAGGTGTTGGTATAAAATTCGGGGCTTAGGAGCGCGCGCAGCTGTTTGCGATGACGGACTTTTGGGTTACTTATTACTCTGTTACTAGCCATACTTCTATTCATGTCCGTTATTCAGTGCCTGTTTCGGTGCAATAATGTCAGATGCGGCTGCACAGCGCCTGATGGCAGTCTACATAAGTTGGGTACTCAAAGGTACACAAGTCGTCCGCAGAATTCCGGAGTAACTAAGAAGCGTAAAGAACATTCCACCACCAAAAACATGAATCTAGTATTGTAGATAGGAAGGGTGGATCAACATGGGGCAAAATCACGAGGGCGTTAAACGAATCGTAAGGATACAGTTGTTCAAAAGTCCATGTGTGGTGAGGCATCGTTCATCGAGAGCGGAGAGGAATCGCTGGAGATAAATTCAAGTGTTCGTTGTTATATTTGTTGAGTTACTGGAGGGTTTGAAGGTGTGCGCTCAGCTGACCCGAAAAGATCCGAGAGAAATATATGTATATGCTCACCTATCGGTCTTCGCTTCTTCCAGTATGTAGTCCTTCCATCCTCTCCAAGCGGCTTCCATCATGAGAACGAAGCTTTCGGCCTCTGGACTTTTGCCGTCTGTCTGCTGATTCGAGAAACTGTAAGGATCGACCACCTGGGCGAGCCAGCCGTCGGTGGTATTTAGCCTTCGCTTTATGCAATCTCGAGCCAGATGTGCAGCTCGAAGTGATTCGGGCTTCAACGCTGTTAGACTCGGTAACGTAGCCATATCGATTGTTGGATTGGAGGGCAAGGTGGGGTCTACTGTGGCATTCGCCGGGGGGCCGCGCAGGTAAGATGGCAAAGCCGCAAGGCGGAAGGTGACGCTGGCGAGAAGAGCCGTGGATGCAGAGTCTGAGAAGGTGTTGGGGTCTGTTGCATAGTTGAGGAGTGAGCCATCGGATTGCTATTCAGGTGAAAACGAGCAAATTTAGGACCCTCCTTCCAACTTCTCCCTGCTGCGAATCGCTCACTTGATATGCCCAGATGTTATTGACAATTTCCGTCGCCCAGTTTTGCAAGTCTCTCTGAGCTGCTAGGAACTGAGGTTGGTAGCCCAGTGTCGTTTGATTCATGGTAGCCAATACTCGCAACATTCCAGCAGCAGCCCAACCGTTACCTGTTTACATGCAGAGTCGTCAGCGTCATTCCACAGTAAGATCAGGTATCCAGGCGTGAAGGGTTACCTGTACTCCAGTGGCCATCGTCCGTGAAATTCCCCAGTGCGATATGCTTCCACAGGCCGACGTTGGAATCGAATAAATAGTTGCGGTACAGTCGGATTTGATCGTATGCCGTGTATACGAGCCATTGGTGGACGTAGGGCTGGTAAAGGGCGCCGTAATAGGCAATAAATGGAGGCGTCATGTAGATAAAATCGGACCTGGATTGATTTGGGGAACTGGATGAGAACGGACCCCATGTTATCTTTGCAAGGGAGCATCTCACCAAAGCTGGACTTGTTCCGACCGGTGGCTAATCGCTCCGTCTGGAGTCTTTGGAGCGGTGTTCAAAACGTAACCAAGTTGCTGTCGTAAAGGCGCGTCGTAGTCGTTGTGAGCTTCGTCTGCGCGTGACGCCTTGGTCCAATTTGCCATGAGCATAGCGACTCCCAGCGAGGTTGGATCCCCGACTGAGCCGTCTTCGAATAGGGTTACAGCACCCACTGGACGTATCGCGATGGCGCTGCGTGGTAAGAAACGGTGAGACGGAAGATCGACGAAGGGCATGAAGAAATGACCGACTAGTTTGCCAATTCCAGGACGGTAGAGATATTGTTCGGATTGTCCGTGCCACCGACGTTTCGTGCTGGAGGGACGCCAGTAGCACCGAATACACTCATTTGAGGCCAGTCTATCACCAGAGAGGAACGAGGTCAGCTGGGGTCTCCAAGACAATGCTCCAAAAGGAATAGACGAGCAACCGACGGACAGTCTGAACTACCGATTGGCAGTAGAGACTCATCAAGGGGGGATGATGCGAAAGAGACGGAAAGAACACGTTGTGCCCGTCTTGTGGGTAACACCGTCATGCCGCCGGCATCGATCCCGCTCAGCGACGCGAATGCCGCTGTAAACCGAACGTCATGTCTGGTGGATCAGGCCGCAAGCGACGTGCGCGTGGTATGAAGTGGTGGGCCCGAAGGAATTCCAATGTCGACCACGAAGCAGATTGTAGTTTCCACTCACCGATTTCAAGGTATGCCTCGGCCAGGGTGCCCAACTCCCATGACTTGAGAGATACGTCCCTCGCCCGTGTGCGGATAAGCTGGAGTAGGGGATCGTCGATCGGGAGGAACGACGAGAACGTGGGTACGTCCACGTCGCGGGACCGGAGGTTGATGGGTGGCAGTCGCTCCAGGGGACGAGCGAGGCTCCTAGCCAGCGATCCCAGAACGAGCAGAGCGGCCGTCGGCAGTGAGATGTGCATCACTGGAAAGTGGACGGATACCTGGAGGGATGCTCGAGGGTGAGAGGCGGGAAGATGGTGTTTGAGGAAGCGGCCAGGATTATATTTTCTGGGTGACGGCGAGGATTAGGCGACAAGAGCGAAGTTTCGTCGCTGTCCCGGATGAACTAGAAAGGGCGTTTCTTTGAGCGAGGTCACTGTAGTACAGGCTCGGGCGTCGACGTACGGGTCAAGATGGGTGTAGATGAAATGGCTTGCATTACGCTTAGATGGAGCCATTGTTGATGAAGAGAGGGTCGTTGTTCCTTGGTCCACAACGATGCTCTCGGCGAATTGGAGTTCGCACGCCCAGCCCCTGCGAACAACGTCAGGCGTCGACTTGGACCTCCCCCCAAGACCTCTTGGACCTTCAAGCCACGAGCAAGGAAGCCAGGCCTGCCTCGTTGATGGAAGTATGGCATACTTACCCCATGTTCTTTCAGATTGGCAAGGTTACCTAACCCCCACCCCTCCCCCGGAAGCACTTGCGCGCTCCGAGTCTCCCGTCTCCAAGCCCCTCTTCAAGTATGCCTTCGAGGGCATCCAGAATCGGTCGGATATCCTGCACACTCCGTTATGACGGACCGGGTTCCTTGGTGGGCAAGGCTTTTAGCGCTATAGGGATATTGTGGACACAGGATTTTATGTCGGGCAGTTGGCGCAGTGGTAGCGCGCCTCATTTGCACCTAGGTTTATGGCCAAGGTTAGCCGGAAAGCTTGAGGAGGTCATGGGTTCAAATCCCATACTGTCCAGTTAATCTTTTATTTTGCCTTTTCTTATCTTGTAAACTCGGTCTTGTTGCTTCCTTGAACCGGTCTATGCCCCTCCGCTCGCGTCACGATGCTCGTCTGCTCAGCCCGATAGATAGGAATAAAGAGTACCGACATACAAGAACTGCATCGCAATAGTTAAACTAATAATGTAAGAAAGCAAAGCTAGCCGTCGTTTTGCCCCTCCTCGGAGCGAGGGGGAATCACACCGAATTGCTCAAGCGCAGCGCTTGCACTGCTGTTCCTCATCAAGCCCTCCAGAACTTCGACCGCCCTCGATCCTCCCACCATACCCAGATCATCGTCACCATCGGGATCCATGCCTTCAGGGATAGGGGTTGGATCGAATGTCAGGCCAAACTTGACGGATTCGTCAACGATACCCCTCCAAGTTGCTTCTTCTTCCTGACTCAGCTTTGTATACATCTCATGTCAACTCATTATGCAGGGTTTCAAACTCAAACGTCAACTTACATGGTGCCAGATTTTGCCTCGCCCAGTTGTATGCTGCTGTAGTAACTGCTTGACGATAGAATCGGCACTACCGGCTCCAGCGGCATCAATTCCTGAAGCACCCTCCCAGCGCATGCTGCGGAACCACTCTTTCTCTGGACAATCACGGACACCATGGGCCAGAATAGAACTGAGATTCGGGTAGCTTCAAGAGGGAACGGTGAACACGGGGCGCCTGTTGGCCGGAATGCAGAACGAGCACAACTTACTTCCCTCCACACTTTGGACATGCAAATACGTTTGGGTCATCCGTGGCACTATCCCTTTCCAGGTCTTTCCATGGGGTGTGCATCTGCTGCCTGATGTTATAATGGTCAGTACATAAGAGTTTTCGTAAGGGAGCGTGCCACGAACATATGCCTTTCGAGGTGACCGGCCGTATCTGTTGTGAAGTCGCATTTAACACAGAACACGCCAGTCTCGCGGGCAACCTGTAAAGAGTCAATAAGAGAAAATTCCGAACGCGAGGGGTTTGAAACTCACTCTGGCTTCCTCTTGAGTCTGGAGCTGTTTCTCAACGATGGAGTTGACATGCCACATCAGAGCTGCAAACACCTCAGCGGCAGGGACCGTCTTGAAAACACTCGACTCTGACCCATCGCCCATCTTGCACGAGCCCCTAACGTCCTCGCCGTCTTTGGAAAAGACCGCCAAGTCGTCCCCAGTGTCGTCGTCGGCACACTCCGCCGGGACAGGGACATCTGGTATCTCAGCGTCCTCGGTGGATCCCGGCGGGTTGGCCTTTTTTGTAACTTCCCTTAGGCGATCTCTTGTGGTCTTCACAAGGCCGACGAGCTTTTGTCCAGCAAATCCGCCAAACATCTGAGGGGAGAGGTCATTGTCAAACTGGTTGTCTGGATCCTCAGCACCTGCTACTTCTCCGACGGCAAGTTGGTAAAGATCAGGGTCAACAACTTGAAAGTTGACCCCCTGCTGAATCACAGCTTCGCCCTGTAGTTGGATGGGGCGATCCTGTTCTGAGGGTCGGGAGTTGGACGGCTGTGCGTCGTCGTTGACAGTTTGCTATAGATCAAGATTGCGTTAGTTCGCAGAGCACAAGAGATAGAACGTATCATACCAATGCTTGTTCCACAGGGGCTGCCCCAACTCCTTTCAGGAGCATCTGAGCGTGATATCTTGCTGCAGTCGTGTCCTTCGCCGGCCTTGCATCGCTGAGCCTGTCTCGAATGCGATCATCGCATCGCCTTCGGATAAGTTTCTGGGCTTCCCTATGCTCCCTAAATGCGTGGAAGAGAATATGGGAGGACTAAGTGGTACATGTGAGCCTCTGGTTATGAACACAAGACCACCGGACTCGAAACCGTACCGCTGGAAGTTCATCAAAGGAAATATCGTCATCCAGGGGCTCTTTCTTCAGCTCAGCGGCGCGCTTGGCTAGTTTAATGATGGCTGCAGGCAAATAACCGGAGTGTCGAGAGTAAATGGGAACGTCAATAATGTTTTCGACTTTTTGAAAGAGCTTTGTCCATTTCGCGTCGCGATCTGATGGTGCTTGAGCGGCTGGATCGTCTTTTTCCCAATTTTCATAGGCGACGGAAAGTTTTTCCTTGCGTTCCGCCGAGACTTCGCTCTCATTTTCCTAAATGTCATCATTTAGACCGGGGTCAGCTGAAAGCAATGGACATTGTGAGTTGCCACACCTGTTCCTGACACCACTCTTTGTCCTCCGGCGAATAGGGCGGTAGCTCAATAGGCTTAACCTCCTGATAATTAGACAAGCCAAATTCGAGGGCGTTGCGCTTGACGATGGACATGACCGCAAGGCTCGAAAAAAATTGGGTTTCGCGTGCTTTCTACGAGATCAGCGGAGGTTTTTTTAGTACAGCATCATTGACCGCACGGAACAGCTCGCTACCTTGTAGAGTGCTTGACGGTCTGGTGGAAGCGGGATTTCGTCAAAGAGAACTGAAAGGACTGGAATGTTTTCGGTGTTGAGGGAATAGAAGTCCATGAAGGTTCTTGAGGTCCGAATCCCATGGGCAAGGATATTCGCGGCGATCTTGGCTCCCAGTTTAAGTCCAAACTAGGGAAGTCATGCGTTAAAGTTGGAGTCGCTTTCACAGAATGAAGGGTTCGAGAGACGTACGATATTAGCTGAGCCACGTCGAATTCCTCGTAGCGTTGCGCCGATGCCGAACCCTAACTTTCTACACAGTTGGGCGATGGCAGCACTGAGGGACATCGACGTGGTTACAGCTAGATTGGGGTCGAGACCTCGGCCACCTTCGGTTCCCTTGACAAAGCTAGGAGACGTCACATCAGCAAGCCGGTCCAAGAGCAACAACACGGGTCTTACAAGGGTTCATTCTGCTTCTCAGGAAGGGCCTCCAACGTCGCACCTTCGTACTCCATCAATTCTTTCAGTGACTAAATAGTCTCCGTTAGCAAGATCCATTCCGAGAGGGAGTGATCCGACCTACAGAGAAACCGAAAGCTCCGCGGAGGTGTTGGTAAAGAATCAAGCACCAGTTTGTTAGGAGCACAAATTCGGGCTGTTCGGTTGGATGCAGAGTGAAAATGAGTCGCTTGCCAATTGGGCCCGTATTATGACCCTGCCGATGATATAGTTAGGTTCGAAAAATTCATATGCTGTGTACAAACATGGAAAGGTCCTGACCTTGAAGTTGTTGATCGAAACTGTAGATGTGAAACGCATCCATCCCTCCCTCGTATGTGTAATATCGCCGAGTTTCATGTACTGAAATATGCAAACAAGGTGGTGAGATCCGGTGACGACAAGAAAGAGTACCTGGAGGCTAGATTACCTGGCCAGACTTGGCATACGATGAATTGGAAGGAGCAAGGGAACTTGGCCGAACGGTGGTGGCGAATGTAAGGACCATAGCACAGATTTGTTGGAGCCGCAGGAGGCAACCGTTCTCTTCTCCTTCCTCCAAGGCCAGTTGAACAAGCATAAAAACTTCCTCCATATTGATGAACTTTTGCTTGACAGGGAGGCGTTGGAGGTCGAGCTTCCGAGTGACTGTCCGAAATTCAAGATCACATGAGCATTAGTGAATTTAGGTAAACACGAAACACTTACGGGCGATGCACGTCGCGTCAAGTTTTGCGTAGAGACCGTCCACTAGCAGGGTAAGACCGCACCGCTGACCAGTCTTGCTTCGGGTGAAGCGACATATCGCCCAGCAGAGGTCCGTTAGCCACCCGATCAGGGTTCGGGCCAGGATATGCTTCCCTTTGCGGCCTTGGGAGTGGTGCGCCTGGAAAGTCGGGCAAAGGAATGTCAGTTAAACTTTTCCGCAGCGAGCAATATTGGAACCCACACGGAACGTAAGGAAATATGCAGCATGTTTTCGCACTACTTCTTCCGTCCATAGTTCGGATTCAGGAACGTGCCAAGGATTTGCGCCTAATATATACTTCCACATGTAAAGTAGGCTCTCGCGACGGCGCTTAACGTGCGCGTTCATCGTATCCTTGTCTTCGTCTGCCCAAGCGGCTAACGCAAGACGCGCTTCATTTTGCTGCTCCTCATCCCCATCGTTCATGTTACGTAGCTTGCTTCGCATTTTTTGCCCCACCCTCGACTTGGGGTCAAGGACGAGCATTTCCGCTTGATGGCGATCGGTCGGTTGGATGCCGATGTTGGTGGTGATACGAAGATCGGGCGGGGGTTGGGCAGAGGTGGAGCTAGAGCCCTTTGAGGTTTGGTAATGCGGTCAGACTTACTGCCAGATATGGTAACGGGAGGTCCTACCTCCGCTGTGGGTTGCTGGGCGACATTGGTACCCAAGGCACTGTATTTGCTTCGACCCAGGTTCGAGGGAATGGAGGCTGTTGAAGAAGAGGGATCGGATTGGACAATCTTATTGAGGATGTTGAGATGCGACTCGGGCCGGAGGGTTGTAGATGTGACTAGATGCGCGAAGAGGGCCAAGAAGGGGGACGTTCAGTAACCTCGACGACGCTTGCAAGTGGGGTCGCAGACTGACCTCTACCGCCGAGTGCTGTTGGGTCCTGGGCTGCCGTCGAGACTCCTTCGGTTGTGGTATTGGCTGGTGGAGCTTGCTGGACGGCGGCTGCCTGGGCGGCGAGTCTTTGGAGGAGGCTCAGAACGCCTTCCATCTGTCGGATGTCCTGCAAGGTGACATCTGGCAATGCGCCCTCGGCGTTCGTAGGGTTTTGGTTTACGGGCGCATCCATTGCGGGTCGGACGGTGGTGGTGGCAAAGGGCTAGTGGTGGGGGGACACGCAGTGGCAATGAGCTCAAGGGGATTAGAGTCAACACAGCTGATACGTAAGACACGATTGGCAAGGAACAAGACAGAATTCTCGAGAAGCGCAAGACTCGAGACAAACACACACAAAGGACAAGACGAAAAAGGAAAGAGCAAAAAAAACCGGCGGAGCGACAAGAAACAGTGTTCTGGAGGCAAAGGAACTACTCATCATCCATGCTCTCGTCCTGTTGTTGTTGCTGCCTAGCC